GTCGCCAGCTGTGTCTCCACCCCGGACTTGGGGCCGGTGCGGACAGACAGACAGACAGACAGACAGACAGCCCTCCATCCCACCCCCACCCCACCCCAGGAAATGGAAAGGGTCCGAGTGTGGTTCGCTTGTCACGCGCTTGCCCGCCTGCCTGCGCTCACTTAAGTGTTGACGGTTACCTCTGGTCGCAAGCAGGCAGAGTGAGTGTCCCAGCACATCGCTCTGCCTCAGCTTCCGGGACTCCTTTGTAGTCAGCCCTGCCCAGACCCCCTCTGCAGTGACGGAGCCCACAGAGATTCCCGTGGACTGCCGCTAACAGGCCCCATTTTGTTTAGCCCTCACTTGCCCCACTTGGGGTGTGATTTCTTGTCTGTTTCGTTGTCCCTTTTGTAACATCCATTCTTTCACAGTTGGCATGGCCTGAAGCAGAGTGTGGTGACTCAAGCCTAATTTAATCCCATCACTTGGAAGCCTGAGACTTGTGGGAAAGCTGTAATTGTAATGTTGAAGCCTACCTGGGCTATATGGTAAGTTCCAGGCTCAAGTGAGACCTTGTGTTCAAAATGTAAAAAGAAAAATAATCAGAGAAAGGAATGACCATTTACTCCAGTGAGCCAGATGGCCTATATAATTTGAGAATTCTCAGTGAGGTAGTTCTAAGTGATGTGCCGTGTTTACCAACTACATGCCATATTTCCTGAGACATTCAAAATAATACTCCACAAGCTAAATGATTAGAGCCCGGGTGATGGAACAAGAAAGACCCAAAAGTAGAATAAAAGATTTGTAAGATAGTAAGAGAAACCATATAATAGATCAAATGTTACAAGTAGGAGTTTTAAAAATCTTGGGCTAAGGCTTACTGGGGTAAAGGATTCCTCAGGAAAGCCTAGCTACCCGAGTCCCTGCACTCCAGGTGAACTGACTCCACAGAGCTGTCCTCTCAGCCCTGCACGCGTGCTGTGACATCCAAGCCCCACAGTAGGAATATATTCTTTTAAAACAATGTGCCCGAGTAGTTTTTTGAGAACAAGATTGGTTACAGCTAAATAAGTAGAAAAGCCAGGCAGTGCACACACCTTCGATCCCAGCATTTGAGGAGGTGGAGGAAGGTGGATCTCAGTGAGTTCAAGGCCAGCCTGTTCTACAAATCCAGTTCCAGGACAGCCTGGACTATTGCACAGAGAAACCATGTCTCGGAAAAAAAAAAAAAAAAGTAGGAAAGAGGCTTTGGAGTGAGTCTTAGGAAGTGGTTGCATTTTAACAGGCAGGGATGGTGAAGAAATGTCTTTGTGTATTAACAAGCAGCTTACAAAGGGAGAAAAAAAATATCAAGTTTTATGTTCTAACTATATGCATGCCGGCAGGCCAGAAGAGGGCACCAGATCTCATTATAAGATGAGCCACCATGTGGTGGCTGAGCATTAAACTCAAGACTTCGGGAAGAGCAGCCAGTGCTCTTAACCCCTGAGCCATCTTTCCAGCCCCTTTTCTTGTTTTTTAAAGAGATTTTACTGCATTTATTTATTTGTGCTGGTGGGGGGCGGCAGGTGACATAGCACACATGGAAAATAGAGGACAACTTGCAGAAGTCAGTTCTCCCACTGTGTGCCTCCATCAGGTCACACTCAGGTTGACAGGCTTGAACAGCAAGCAAGCACCTTTTTACCTTTATCTGCTGAGCACTGGGGCCATTCTTTGGACTGCAGGAAAAAGAATAGGGCAGCAGTATGTTGGTCAAGACCTGCATATCAGAGACTTACATTATGATTCAGAACAGTAGCAAAATTGCAGTTATGAAGTAACAAAACAGTTTTGTGGTCGGGGGTCACCACCACATTAACTATTAAAGGATTGCAGCATTAGGAAGGTTGAGAACTGGCCAGGCGGTGGTGGCTCATGCCTTTTAATCCCAGAGCTATACAGAGAAACTCTGTCTCAAAAAACATGTATGCGTGTGTGTATGTATATAAATCCCTCCACTGAATAGGTGGTTGAAGCCCAGGCCAGAATCTTGGTTGGGATTCCCAAGGTGCCCGAGGAGTTGTGATATTAAGAACAGTTTTGAGCCGGGTGGTGGTGGCACATGCCTTTAATCCCAGCACTCCGGAGGCAGAGGCAGGTGGATCTCTGTGAGTTCGAGGCCAGCCTGGTCTCCAGAGTGAGTGCCAGGACAGCCTTCAAAGCCACAGAGAAACCCTGTCTCGAAAACCGAGAAAAAAAAGAACAGTTTTGACTAGAGTGGAAGGAATCTCCGGAAAGCTTCCTGGGAATCGTCAACTGTGAGATATAGCTCACCTTGCTGAAGACCTTGTAAGGGAAGAGGAGCTTGTCATCCTCCATGGGCTCCAGGTTTTCAACAATCACAATGCTGTTGTATTCTTCTGGCTAGGTGGAATCCAACAGACAGACTCAGTAGGGCCAGCTGCCCCTGTCTGTGCTGCCTCTGCAGTTGAAAGATATGGATGACCGCCTCCAAGTGCTGGGCAACTCCCTGTCCAAATCATGACACACAGGGAAAGAGTCCTCCCATCCCTGAATGTCTCTCCTCTTCTCTGGCTGCTTGTGTTTGGTGTCTAGCAGACTGGTGATGGTGTCCCTGTGTGTGGATCTTCCGCTCACACTCCCAGACATTCTTTGCTAGTCTCAGGATTGTTTTTAGACATTGTTTCTTTTTTCTTCTTTTTTTTTTTTGTTTTTTTTTTGTTTTGTTTTGTTTTGTTTTTTCGAGACAGGGTTTCTCTTTATAGCTTTGGAGCCTGTTCTGGAACTCGCTCAGTAAACCAGGAGATCCTCCTACCTACCTCTGCCTCCCAAGTGCTTGGATTAAAAGCATATGCCACCACTGTCCAGCTAGAAATTATTTCTATAACTATGACTTCAGCCTCTTTTATGGAATTATCCACTTAGGTTTTTTTTTTTTTTTTTTTTTTTAATATGTTGTCTCTTTCACATTCCCTGACTCCACTCTAGTTAAAAGTCCTTAATTTTTCTGGAACTAATTTTTTTTCTTGTAGCCAGTTAACCTAACCATTGAAACTGGAGGCTCAATCTTCTCTATCTCTCTCTTTTTTTCTTTTCTTTTTTTTTTTTTTTTTTTTTGGTTTTTTTCGAGACAGGGTTTTTCTGTTAGTTTGGAGGCTGTTCTGGAACTCGCTCTAGGCTGGCCCGGAACTCACAGAGATCCGCCTGCCCCTGCCTCCCGAGTGCTGGGATTAAAGGCTTGTGCATCACCAATGCCTGGCTGTTTGATTGCTTTTTTATTTGTTTACTTAGAATATCTCACTTAGCCTTGAGTGGCTTGAATCTCACTAGGTAGCCCAAGCTTTGAATTTACAGCAACCCTCATGTCTTGGCCTCCCAAGTGCTGCAATCAGAGGAATGATTTACAATACTCTGCAGTTTTTCCAACTTCTAATTATAATGTTATCAAGCATAAAGTTTAGAAAACAAAATAAACACATTGATCCACATGTTCTTGTTATTTTTTACCATATTAATTTTTCTACCATATTAATTTTCTAAAAAATTAATAGATTTTGTTGAACTATTTAAAATAAATTGCATACAGCATCTTATCCTGTTAGACCCCCGAAAACTCAAGTACCCGGGGTCCCAGGCCATGTTCTCGGTCACCCAAATCACCAAGCGGATTCGAGAGGTTGCTGCAAACTGCACGAGAGCTAACCCCATGTTAGCTCAGGTCTTTCGCTCACCTGCCATGGCGGATGGCCAGAAAAGACGGCTCCTAGGGGCTCCCAAAAGATCTTATAGGGCAGTGTAAGGGGAGTGTCTAGGGGTACGCACAGGCTTACGATTGGTGTGCCTCCAGCCTTGGAGGGCTTGCCCTGTGTGGATTGGTCAACTTGTTGTTATGGCCCATAGGCCCTCCCAGGGTGGTTGCCATGCTCTCCACGTCACTGCCGTCCGTAAAGCACACCCAGGGTCGCAAAGCATAGCATCACCAGCTAACTTCCGATTGGTTCCCTGTCACGAGACAGGAATCTGACTTCCTAGTGTCTAGGGCAAGGTCATAGAAACACGTGTTCTGCCCTTATGGCTGCCAAAAGGGAAGCTGGTTCCTTCAATCCATAATTCAGTTGAAATTTTCTTGAACAGTTACAGAGCCATGGATGGGTGGATGGATAGATAGATGATAGATAGACAGATAGATAGCCCACATATTTTTCCAATTGTCCCTAAAATGTCTTCCTTTTTAAAGAGTTCATTTCTAATTTAAAGTTTTGT